AAAGAATTGTTTCCTTCTGAACTTCATCCCCCCCCCCCATCTTTACACTTAACAGTGCTTTGTTGTTTCTCAAAGCCAAGTAGAAATACCTTGCTGTTTATTATCTTGATGACAGTTTGATGGTTTCCTGGAAACTGGACATAAAAGATAGTTTGGGTTGAGCTTGAAATGGTATTTAAGGTTTCCAAAAGGCAGATGCTATGATATATATCACTGCAGCCTGATAAATGAGAGTGCATCTTAGAATGACAGGCTGAAGACTTTAATGAAAGAAGGTTTCCCATTTCAGTTGGCCAATTAAATCACTGTTGATGACTTTGGATCATTAATGAACATTTGTGGAAAATGACCATTTGTGTTCAATCATTGCAGTAATGTGTTTGTTTGAAAAGTACTAACCACAAATAATCCTAACCATATATTACAAGATTTATCCATTTGCCACAGTTAAGTCAGTGTATATTTTTGCTTCACTATCAACGCAAGTTAACATTTCAGAATTATTTTACAGAAATACTTTCTTAGAAAATTCTACTTAGAAAAGGTTTTATTTTTTCCAGAGTGCTTTTTAAAATGTAATTTATGATGCATCATGTTACTTCATTATTCTTAGAATAAATTAGCAAGACCTAAAAACTAAAAAAGGAAACATTATACAGTATATAAAAGCAAAAGATTAAGATTGATTAGGTTATTTGATTTATTTACTGCATAAAAATATTTCTAGATCTTGAAAAATAGTAGGAACAAAGTAACCATTTGGGAACATGCAAATTTTTTAGAAGTACTGTGAAAAGAAAATAAGTAGAAAGCTTCATAACCAGATTTTTCAACTCAAGTCTATTAAAGGTTTAAATTGTATTTTTTAATCTTTTATGCACCTTACAGTATTTTAAAAATATAGATCCTGTCATTTTTGCTAAATATATCCTATAAATTTATCTCGATATGTTTTTCTTTAGTTCATTTTCTGTGAAACTTGACATGTTTTGGTAGTTAAGGTGAGAGCAGGTTCTTTTGAAATGTATGTTTTCTCATCTTGTTATTTGTAAAATGGGCTATAATCTCAGACCAAGCTTCTTTCAATCTCTATTTCATAGTTTACAGAGAAAGGAGACACTGTGGAGCATAGGCTTCCCTTGGGAATACATTGGGCTTAATGAGCTTGATAGTCTGGTGGGCTCAATAAATCAAATAAAGCAAAACATTTCTCATTTTTGAATAAAAGCATTTATCACACAGTGTTTGTTCACTCGTGGTCACAAGATTGATTGGTTCCTAGCATCATAGTGTACATTGAAGCATTTTTGATTTTGTTTTTCCAGTGGGCAAGTTACGGAAGCAATGGCTAAAGGAAAGTATCTCTGATGTCGGCTTTGGGATGCTGAAGTCTGTCAAGGAATACGTGGACCCCAATAACATCTTTGGAAACAGAAACCTTTTATAAGTCTGTTAGCATTGTTACAAAATATGTCACTTTTCTTTTTTTTTTTAACTTTCAACTGTGGTTATACCAGTAATCAAATATATTATAGACTGTATTTCTGCTACATTTGTTGGTTTAAAATGTTTGTTTTCATTCTGTAGTTTGTTTTGTTTCTGCGTCTATGGATTGACAGATGGTATTCCTAAATCTCTCTCATTGCAGGTGCATCAGTTTACAGCCAATTGGTTGTCATGTCAAATTTTAGTCAGGCAGCACAAGGCTACCAGGTATTTCAGAGGAAGATTCTCCCAGCTGTTTGGTATTGATGCTTCCTCTTGGGGAACAAAGGTAGATTTTGGAATCATCTATTGCTTATCTGACCTCTTTTTTGAAAAACTGGTTCTGGGAAGCAGGTATCTAGTGAAGGGTTACATTAAAGAGTGATACATGTGTACATTTTCTAAGAGTGTATTCTAATGTGAGTAGAAAATTAAGGGAGGATAGTCATGAAAGAATATAGGCAACCTGCTATTTAAGATACTTTCTCAGTTTTTTAAGATCCTTGGCCTACCTTTTTCTTTGAAATTAGTATTTAGTTATAAAAGTTTAAATCATCACTATCAGTATACAGACTTTTCTGTTAGGGAACATGTTTTTGTTCTCCATGTTTCCATTTCTACTGAAATATGAGTTATCTTTGTATTATTGAAATAACTGTTATTATATCCTAGTTCATTCATAATATGTTTTATAAGAAAAGTTGACTTATCACACATTATACATGAAGAACAGATTTACCATGAAGTGAATGTCTTTATTCACCTTAGAGTACTAATATTTCAGATTTCATATTCTTGTGGCTGAGATGCAGAAGAAGCTACAAAGGAAATGGAAGACACCTTACACTTAATATCTCCAGTTAAAAGAATTGTTTGGCTAAAGAAACAGTCATCATTCAGCTATTGAATTTAAAGACTCAACAGTTTTAATGACAAATTTTTTTTTAAATTAACCCATGCAACATGATAAATTTTCATATAAAAGTAGTTTCAATTTAGTTTTTATTTATAGTTTAATGCCTTTTGTGAATTACTGGTTTAACCTAAATTTTTTAAAAAATGTATTAATCCATATACCATAATCAAAAAACTAGAAATATCCTGTTTCTTAAATAATGAAAACATTAATCACATTTAGCAAACATTTTTACATTTAAACCTAGATATTACTATAAGTAAAATGATTACTTTGAATCACTGTCTGTCAAGGTTCATGATTCACATTTTGAGATGGATTCTTTTCTTAATGCAATACCTAACTTTTGATAGTTTTTTAAATTAATATTTGATCAGATAATGTAAGTCAAAATGCAGACAGTCCTTTACAAGGACCCTGTCTGTCTGTGTAGCAACAGCTCCAAAGTATTTTTGGGCAGTTTGATACCTTTTATACCTGAAGTAGCCTTAACCAGAAAAGTGAAATTAAAATTGACAAGATGATATTTTTAAGACTTCAAAATGATAAATAATTTTTACTATTAAAATTGTCTTCAAATGACTAAACTGAAATCTGTAAGCAAATCAAAATTAAATGTTGGTTTAACAACAAAACTAAATATTTATTTTTAGAAGCTGCCTCTCTCTGTTGGTGATTTATTTTTAATTATAAAATTTCCAGCAGGTCTTTGCTTAAAGCCCTTGATATTTGAAATAGTTGGATACTTGATGAGGAAATTACCTCTAGAATTATAAATAAATAAATAAATAAATAAAATAACTCAGCTTTATAAAATGCATCTATTCATGATGGTAACTTCTCTAATTGGTGATCAAAATGTAAAATTTAACAAGGTACTAATATCTCACTGGAAGTGTAAACATGTTTCTGAGTAATTTTTTTTAATAAAACAGATTCATAAGCAGACCCATTCCTTTGCTTGTGATTGTTACACCATTATTTCCTTTCCCAAGGAGTTCGTATTTCAGCAACGTCAGAAATCTGTATTTAATATTAGAAAATTATATGGTGTATAACACTTGGTTGTGTTCACTGTCCTACAGAAACCTTATGGAAATTAGTGATTTATGTCTTCATTTTTCTCCTCCCCCCATGTATGCAGGACTCCCCAGCCTTGATTTTATAGTGGTGACTACATTCTGTAGCTGAAATCATTTCTATAGGGATCATTTTGAAACACAAAAACAATCATCAGTACTATTTTTTCTGATCTAGTGTCAGAAAACCTTCCCCCAAACTTTCACACACCTACTTTTGGGAGGTGCCTCGGTATGAAGCCTCAGTATAGTTAGTGTCTGTGGAGGACTGAGTTCATTCATACACACAGAAGCACTTAAACTATTCTTCTTATTTCTGACATATCTGAAAGTGGCTTCATAAAAGTTAAAGCTAGAAGAACATTGTTTATGTGAGGCTTAACTCATTTTGAATAAGCTTATTTTTGAAATCGAAAGTCCATACCTTACTTGGTTTTCAGTATTGCCTAATACAGACTTCTCTTGATTTGGGCATATTTGTAACACTTAATCTTGATGATGTCATACTTGGGTTGGGGTTTCAGTGGGTGTGGGAACTTACTGCTGGTTGAGAAATAACACTGAATACTAAAGACTCAATATGAGCAGACCTTGGAGGAGCAGTTGCCTTAATGTTTGGTACAGTTTATAGTAGCACATCAATGAGTTTAGCCTTATTCTAAGTAACTGTTTTTATTTAATAAGAATTATGGGAGCCACATGTTTGTTGTGTCCAGCATTACCATGAAGAAAAAGGATTAGGTTCTTTCCTCTTCTGAGACAAGGGGCGTTTTTTTTTTCCCTAAACGTGCATACGTACTCCAGTACTATTACTTAAAAAGTCATCTATGAAGATGGACGCTTTCTAGTATGCATAGCTATGTTGTTTTGAAAACAAAAGCACAATAAAGGATGAGCTTCCATCAGTGTTTATATGATACCAGGTATAGATGGTTACAAGAAAACCTTTTTTTTCTTTTTAAAGAATATTCTATTAGTAGCTACTAAATTCCAACTTGCATTTTTGAAAATGCTTTTCTGCATGTTGGCTCCAGAGATTTTCTTGTCATATTCTTTCTTAGCTACAGCTTCTTCACTGTAGCTTATCAGAGATGCTCTGTAGTCCCAAGCTGAAGTGTGGTCCTTCAGCTATCCAAATGGGACAGGGCTTGGTTGACCTTCTATTCCATGTAAATATTAGGACACAGTTATTTTCTAGGTATTGATTTGCACGCTCTATATGCTGGTGCTTGAGGGAGCCAAAATGAAATGCAGTGGAAAGCATATCAACATTTTTAGAGACACTGAGACAGGAATTAAGGAAAGCTTTAATAATTTTTTGTTTACCACTTAGTCAGATTTTAGTAACTTGGATTTTAATTAGGGCTTAGCTGATGGTGAGAGAAATGTGGAAGGTAAATGAAGCCATTTTAGGGTGGAAGAATCCAGAATGTTTAACCTTGGGCTTTAAAGAGTTACAGAGGCTTGACTTTCTTCACTCTCGGCTTCTTGTTTCCAAATGAGCCATATGTCAATATATTCCTTTAATTCTTACTAATTTAGTTTCCTGAAAAGGAAACATCTTGTACATTGATGCTGAAATCCAGAAAGTGTGAAAAGTTTTCTTTAACTGTTAAAATACAGTGTCTGTTATGAAAGATATGTTACTCAGCCTTCTACTCCCTAAGCCAGTGTTCGTCTTCCGTGTGAAATTTAACTATAATACCTACATGTAAAGTCAGGAGATTATAGAAACATATTAATAAAATGGACATGGATCTAATTTTTTTTCTTCGAATAGAGTGTGAAGTTGTTCATTCTGTTTGCATATGAGTTTTTCTTTTAACTTCAGTTTTTGGTCTTCATTTTTCCATCCATTTGAAAACTTATTTTTTTGTAACCTTATTGATGTAGCATAATCAAGTGTAACCTATGTCTAAATCCATTTGGATTTATAGCTGAGCATATTGTTAGTGAGGTTTTATTAATCTCCAATAATTTCTTAAATCAATGTTGTATTCCTAGGAGGTGTGTAGTCTCTTATGAACCTGAAGCATTCCTTTTTGAACCTCAAAAGATTCTGAAAGAATGAGCACTCTTGTTCTCTAACCACAATTAATTCCATAACAAACAAGAGTAAAGACCTCTAATAGATAGAATATTCAAGCCAAAGAACCATCACAGAATTCAGTAACTTTAGTTCTGTAAACCTGAAAGGGTTTTTTTGTTTTTTTTTTTTTTTGGTTCCCAAAGGAGATTGTTTTATGTTTTCTACAAGAAAGAAAAATAATAATATTAAGTGTCATTAAGAACATTTTTCAGAGACTGAATTCCAAGAGAGAGAGAAAAGGGGGGGAAAAAAAGCTAAGCTGTTTTAGTATGGATTTCTAAGTAATACATATACATATTTTCAAGGCATCTTTATTGTTGGAGGTTTTTTCATGTTCACCAAAAGTACGCTGTGATACATGTTTTTCTAACCCTGAGAGTAATCTTGCTCATGAGGACATGAAATGCTTAAACTGGTATGTAGTTTCTCTAAACAGTTGATTTTTTGAGCTACTTCAGCAGTATCCCTAAAAGTTCATAGTGCCTTGTTGGGATTTTTTTTTTCTTTCATGAAATAGCCATTATTTAAAATGATTGGGAGAGGATAAGTCTTTAAAGACAGAAGTTATTTATCAATTCAAGGCTATTCCTCTTCAAGAACATGTCAGGAACTAAGTAGTTATATGTAGAAACACGTTCTACCATGTTGGTTTGAGTCATCTGTTTTTACATGTTTAACTAATTGTATGGTGGGCCTGTACTCTCATACATCTGATCAGTCAATGGGATTTGTATGTACTTTTGATTCCTACATTTTTCATCCCTACCATCCCAACCTAGTAGCCCTAAGATGTGGCTGGGTGGATGTGATGTACTCACTGAGCCTTGAGACACTCACTCCATGTTTTTGGATGTTCGTTCATATACCCCCCTGAGCAGCGGAGCCTGTGAGGGGAGTTTCTATTGCTTATGTTGCGTATCAATCAGTCCTTTTTGTGTGATGGTGCCTTCCGAATAATGAATATTTCTGTTTCTGAACAATGATAAATCTTATGAGAACTATGTGTAGGTTATATTTATTTTTGTCCTTTTTTGCTAAGCCTGTGAAATACTTTGGCTCTGATACAACTTGACTTGAATAATATCTTATCCTGAGTCTTCCTCCAAGATAGTACATATTCTTGCCAGTACTGTAGTAATCTTTTGAGAACTACATGTGAGTAAGCACTTGTAGGTAAGCCATTATACTGCTGTAACTACTGCATACAAACAATTCTCTTTACATTTGTAGTCTGAAAGTGATATGTGGTGGGAAGGAAAATTCCTGAGAGAGTCCAGAATAGCTTTGTCAATTCAGTCTGAGCCATACTGTTTTCCACAAGGGCTCAACACATAGTCTCTATACCGTGCTTTCAGTGTATGTTCGGGATCTCCTTTTATTGGTTTTCCTAGATTGTACTGTTCTATAAGCAAATTGTGATTTTTAAGATGTGCTGGGAAAAAAATAAAACAATACCAAAACAATTTATTGTTACATATATTATTTATTTCATGTTGATTCCATTTAACCTTAGTTGGTAGTATAATGCTATACTCAGAGAAAACAGATAGAATACACTCTGCGCTCATGAGTAGCTTCTTTAGTAGTGAAGCCATGTATCGCTGTTGATTTTGTCCCACACCGGAGGGAAAGCTGTTATTGTCTTAGCTCTAAAATGACTGATAATCAGACCTGTTGAATTGTATGCAGTCATCAGTAGGTCACACTAAGATTTTAGCTCTTCTAAGTTATTTAGTTTTTAAAACTCTATTTTTTATTTGGCTTATATAAGCTCAGATTGAAGGAACCTTAAAAGTCATCCCATCTTACTGCTGCCTTATACATAATTTCTACCTGTCTCCATACCCCAGGCCACAAATGGATACAACCAGTTTTCTTGAGTGTTTGCTATCTTTCTAAGAAGTCTAGAATGTGCTTTCATCCATGAAAGAACATTCAGGGTTCAGGCAGCTGTACTTCTATGTACTATTGTCCAGTTTTTATTCAGTGAATCAACATTTATGCTAAATAAACATTAAACAACAATGATATTTACCTAATTTAACATTGGCAGCTGTCAAACTGAAATCCAGATAAAGCTTGCTGCCCCAGGTATGCTACCCTGTCAGAAAAGAAAAGAAATCTTAACTGCTGGCATGTTTATTTTTGCCTGTGTCTGGCTTCAAGAGCATGTCTAACTTTTATTTTTTTTTCCGAAAGACTCATGAACCTATTTTCTGCTGCATTTTCTGATCTATTGATCAGACCTAGTATGGGCAGAAGGACAAGCTCTGAAATTCATCTTTGCATAGTTCTGCCATATCCTTTGTACCTCATTGTGCTAATATTAGAACAGGGAAACTACTCTTTTTAAAAATGATGGAGAGCTGACCCCATGTGCAGTGGTTAAGCACTGTACAGACAGATCCCACATGGCTGTGACCACAGTTTGAAACCTCGCCCCCAGTGACTTGTAAAACATACTGGGCACATGTGTACGTGCTTAGGATACTGACAGGGTGGAGAAATAGAGGGACAAAAGGACGGCAGCATGACCAAACCCTGCTGGGGGGTACATTTTCTCTCATGCATGTGCACACCCTCTGAAATTACACACACACACACACACACCTCTACATGATGAAATTTTGCCACTGTGAAGCTGCAAAATAATTTAGGAGAAGGCGAGTGTTTAAGAACGCAGTGGAAAGAGTTATATTCTGAACATTTTGGGTGTGTATAATTTTTCTCTACCAGGTATAAGTCACTTACCCTATTGAGGCTAATTTCTTTTGTAAAATGAAAATCTCTGAGGTTACTTCCAACCTGATCTCTGAATCTGATTGATTATATGTACTTTAATGGATTACTACTTCATAACTGATTATTTTTCATTTATATGGCCCAAGATGTGTCTCCTAATCAGGAAGAGAGACAATACCCTACAAGGGTCATGGTCACGTTGCAATCCCTTTCCTTCATTTCTCCTTCCTATGAGGATTTTGGGCATGCACATACACCTGGCCTGTTTTTTTTCAAGCTTTTGAGGCCAGGATCTCAGTGGCAGTTGACCATGCAGAACTTAGGTCCACATGCACAGGGCTTAACCTGCTGAGCTACAGGGTCAACCCTCTACTAATTTTTAATGCATTCTTTGTTTTGCCAGACACTGTCGAAGAAGTAATACTGTTCTCACAACAACCTGTGAGGTAGGTGGTATCATCTCCCTTTTTTTCCTGGTGAAAAACAGGTTTAGTTAGGAAATACCCAGTGTTGGTAACTGGGAAGCGGCATTGCTAGACATGGAGTGGAGCTGGGTCTGACTGAATCTAGTGCCCCTGTGCTGACTGCTTCATTGTTCTAGGCAGTTTGTGTTGATTGACTGTGGTACTTGCAGGATTTCTGCTGTTTAAAGTACATTATTAGGGCCAGCCACTGGCATGATGATTAAGGTAGCTGGATCCCACATAGCTGACTGCATGGTTTGAGTCTCGTCCCAGTAGATTGGGAAAAAACACTAGGTATGAGTGCAACATGCCCAAAATCCCAAAAGGAGGGAGAAATTGAGAAGGGATTGTGGTGTACCATGCCCCACAGGGGGTGCTTTCTCTCTTTCCCCCACCCAACCATGGCCCAATGAGTACAAGCACACTCTGGCAAATTTTTAAATTATAAAAATTATTTTTAGAGGGATTTTTGCTATAGGGCATGTGCATTCACCGAAGGCAGACAGAAAGCAAGAAATCACTCCCAAGGGGGGTTGGCCATGCCACAATTCCTTCTCCATTCTTCTCTTGGGATCTTGGGCATGCATGCACATGCACCCAGCATGAGTTTCAAGCCTCCAGATCTGGGACTCGAACTACAGTTGGCCATGTGGGAGTCCAATGATGAAACCATTATGCCATCTGCTGGTCTCTTCCCCCACAAAAATTTCAAATACATTGTTAGTCATTTTCCTCTAATGGCTAACAGAAGGACAGAAGTAAGTAAACAGTGTCTCCTACTACAATGGAAACTGCTGTTTTGTGACCATATACCATATTAGTGCCAGAAAACCTTTTGTTTCAGTGCCATCTTGCACTGTAAATATGTAATCCACAATATTCTGCACTGATGAGTTGGTTTAATATGAAATTTATAAAAGGAAGTGCTGTAGCTGATGGACTTATATAACCTAGAGACAGTCTTGGTTCTTTGAGAACTCACAATTCCTTAAAGCTACTAATTTCTGAATTAAGGTTACTGAAAGACTTCAGCTATACCAGGGCACTCAAAAAGTTGCATATATAGTATGGTAGAAAGTTAAAGTTTGGAATCTGGTGGTTAGTCATGGTGATTATGTATGTGTGGACCACCAAGAATCAAGAGTTACTGACTGATCACAAAATTGTGCATTAGACTTAATACTCAGGGCATAGCCCAGTAAATGACAACTACAGAGAACTCTAGTGTCTCTTTAGTCCTAGAAGTAGGTCAATAAGAGATGAGGCAATTAGTGAGCTGCAAATCACACTAATGCTAAAAGTATAAGAGTGTGGCAGAGAATACCCTCAGAACACCACAACCTATCTGATGTTTCCAGATTACCCATAGTAAGAAAACTATGAAGGAAACTGAAACAAAAATAGTATTTGAAAATGATGATGTTCACTTTGAATAAAGAATTTTGTTTGGTAATGTTATCTTTTTAAAGTTTGCTTGTTTAGAAAACCATCCTCTGCTTATCTAGAGTCAGACTTTCATCACTGCTCACCTTCTGGGACTCCAGTGTGGAAGTGAAGCTGAGTATGGATTATGGGGCAGAGGGGTCAGAAAGATTCTCCCTTAAAGCTTTCCTGCCAAGCCATTTATATCCATAACACATTTCCTAGGAAGTATATTTGGGCATCTATGCCCCTACTTCTATAAACAAGTCATTCTAGCTTTGGGCAAAATTATCACAATTCTGTATGAATTCTGTCTAAACTGCTCCTTTAATGTTGAGAGCCCATACCCATATGAATCTGTATCACTTGGGGGAAGTAATGTCATTTGATTACAACTATCTCTTTGCCAGTAACTCACCTCCATGCCCTCACAGTCTTCCCAGTTCCCCAGTTGTATGCCACTGATGAATGAATGGGTAAGAGTTAGCCACCATACACCTGACTTCAGATGGTGTCCCGACAGACTCACCGGTGCACAGCCTCCCACAAGATGGTATTAGTACAATCATCCATGCCATAGCTGAGGCCACATTTAGAGGGACTGCCATGAAGAATACAAGTCCTTTAATAGGCATGTCATATCACACTCAAAGGAATGTGCTTAATGATTCTGCAC